CATTTGACGTCGCTGAGATGTATTGTAAGAATATTTTGTACGATAATTATAACTAAATTCGTTATCATTATATATAGGCTTAGTATAAGATTTAGTATAAGAATTAGTAGAATAGCAATAATTATTTGTGCCTTTAAATGCTTTCGATTTCGGTAGGCACTTTTCCGAAATCAGATTTAGTTTAAATCTTCATTACTAATATCGGCATTAGAGGTAGAAGGTTGTGCGTCACATAAATGCATATTATTTCTATTAGGTGCATGCGCACTGGGACTTGGTAACGTATTCATCGTGCGAGTGTCTGGTTGCATATTATGACGAAGGCTATTGTTATATTGTCGCTTTCGACATTCGTTTATCATATGTCCCGGCTTTTACAATAACTGCATATTTTAATAGGATTTTTGTTTGAAATATTATGAAAATTAGAATGAGGGTTATTATTTTGTGGATTAACGTAATAAGCTCGACGAGATTGTTTTTTTTATGATTATAGCAGTTAGAAGAATCATGACCAAATTTTTGACATATAGAACACTGTTTATAAGATTTGGAAGATATTTTGCTCAGAATGAATAGTTTTTCTTCTTCTATGGCATGCGTAATTGCCTCGCTTAAATTTTTCGGGTTTTGACATCTAACAATATATCCGTAATTAGAATTTAGACCTAATATAAATGTGTTGAGGGCTAAATCCTCCATAGCGGCAATTCTTCCTACTAGCTCGGACTTATTCTGGCAACTGTAATGTATGTCGGATTGTAATCGCGTTAAACAAGATTCGATTCTAAGTGAATATTGCATTACTGTTTCCGAATTTCCTTTCCTACAATTTTGGAGTTCAATTAAAAGGTGTGTGGAGTGTTTCTTCTCGCCAAAGGTAGTTTTTAGAAATAGTTTTAATTCATCCCAACTATTAAACGTTTTTAGAGAGCACGCGATTTGAGCTTTTCCTTCTAATTGGGATATGATATAACGATATAAAACTGCTTGCTGTTCCGAGTTCGCGAGTGCTATGGCGTTATCACAATTTGTGAGAAAAGCCGGAAGTGATTCTCTATCACCATTGTAAGATTTGATGAATTTTACAAGGACGGATAAGGGAATTTTGTCGGACATTTCTATTTCTTCTGGTTTGTCCTTTAAAGTTTTAACCTTATGCATATGGAATTAGAAAGATTTAGGAGTTAGTAAATACAAAATTGGTAAAATGAGAATATTATTGTACACGACAAATGACAAAAGAATGTAAGGAAATAGAAGAGGAATAGTATAAAATTATAGCTAAATTAAAGTTACCTAACTTACAATATCACGATCACTACGGTGTACATTGGTTGCTATGCCGGTGTCGTGTTGCGATGACGTGCAGTGGAGTCGCGTTGCCGTGAGACCCAGGGGAGTCGTTTGACGGCGGCGTCCACGTAGTTGTGCGATGGGAGTGCAGCAGCTCAGGCTCACACGCTGGTGGTGTAGACTAACAGCCTTGATGAACTTCGGGTTGACGATGGTGTCCCAAGCTCGTGGGGCTGAGACCTCGTTGGTGCTTTGATGATGCAGGCTCACACTCGTGGGGTGGAGACTTACTGTCGATCTTTCACTTCAGAGTTTCCCAGGATTCGCATGCCACGCTACTGATGTACCGGTAGACCTTGCGACATCCCACTTCTGACACCGAATTTGTTAGGAGGGCCGCTCTGAAGGTGTTTTTAAAAAAAACTTTTACACCCAATCCCAGAAGTTCTTTTGGTTTATTTCCCCAATATTAAATTAATACAAGAAATGTACAAAAGCCGCGAACGGCGTGTGCGATATGCACTTAATATGGGTTGGAACTGCACTGCGTCGATTACCTCAAACTCTAGGCTTTTATAATAAATATAATAATCGAGTCAGCGCTTTTATCTAACTAGGGTTGGACATAACAGCGCGAATTAAGAAAACTATTGATAGCGCATACCTAAACTATCAAAATTGTGTGCAAAGTAACTTGACAAAAGATCCTAAGTCTTTTTGGGATCATATTAGGGCGAAAAAAGGGACCGTTAAACGTAAACAAATATTGAAAGATGAGTTTCTTGATCTGACAATGTTTGTCAGATCAAGAAAGTGCGACTGAATTTGCCAAATACTTCTATTCAGTGTACAACAGCGAGCCAGCGCGTTTGAACGTAGACGAGGCGGTATTGGAGGGCGGTGCGGGCAGAGCGCGCGTGCACGTGTCGCAGCTGCAGCTCGGTGAGGTGCGCGTGGAGCTCGCCCGACTCAAGCCGAAGCGCTCAATGGGCCCGGACGGTATACCGGCGTTTGTGATACGAGACTGCCCCTCAGTGCTGGCAGAACCGTTATTACATATTTTCAACTTGTGTCTGAAGAATTCATATTTTCAAGAAAGTTGGAAAATCACGCGTGTTATTCCGATACCTAAGGGAGGTAACAAACCTACAGTTGAATCCTTCAGACCAGTGGCGATTCTCTCAGCACCTGCTAAGGTGTTTGAGGGAGCCATTCAGCGAAGTGTACAGGAACAAGTTGCACCGCAATTATCGGACGCCCAGCACGGCTTCCGGCTAGAGAGGAGCACAACTAGTAACCTCTTAAATGCCATGACGTATTTGGTTCCTCATGTTGATGCAGGGTTGCAGGTATATGCCGCCTACTTTGATTTTAGGAAGGCGTTCGACTTGGTAGATAACGATATCCTACTGTCAAAGATGGCGAAAGCTGGCTGAACACCTAAACTGCTTCATTTTTTTTGCAAGTTACATGAGAGATAGAAAACAGTATGTGGAGTATGGCGGGTACCGGTCGGAGCCTTATTTTACTAGGTCTGGTGTGAGTCAAGGCAGTAATTTAGGGCCGTTAGAGTTCAATATAATGATTAATGATCTACCCGAAGTAGTAAGAGAGGCTAAATGTCTGTTATTTGCAGACGACCTAAAGTTGCTTTTAGCCATCAAGAGTGAGGATGATTGTCGCCACCTTCAGCAAGATATCGACCAGGTAGTTGAATGCCATAAAAATAAACTGCAGTTTAATATTTCAAAATGCTCTATTATATCATTTAGTCGTGCAAGGGCACCACTCCATTACAACTACAAGGTGAATGGAGAGCTAATGAAGAGGGAGGAATCAGTCCGGGATCTTGGAGTCCAGATGGATGTCAAATTGATATTCCGGGAGCACATCATGAATATATGTAAGAAAGCTTATAAACGACTTGGGTTTATCATTCGCAGAGCAGTAAAATTTACCAACATTAAAGCAATCTCAGTGCTGTATGATGCTCTAGTAAGGAGTCAGCTGGAGTGTAACTCAGCAATATGGGCTCCACATGAAAATAAATACAATCTTATGCTGGAGCGCATTCAGAATAAATTCACGCGATTTATATATCATAAGCTTTATGGGGTTTATCCATCCTACCCCTTGATGTATCCAACCCTGTTTCTTTTAGGTATGGTTGGATACAACAAGTTGGAAACTAGAAGAGATCTTGCGCTGGTAACCTACATTTTAAGGGTGTTCCGTGGTTACATCAGCAAACCGGGAGTGCTGCAGTGGATAGGCTTATGCGTGCCTGATAGGTATGTACAGCGGCGACGACGGCCAAGCTTTCTCGCGATGCCACGCGGCAGGACTAAACTGGTTCGCAATACCCCCCCTCACGCGAACGATACACATACTAAATTTGGTAGCTGAGAAGTTGGACTTATTTTCGTGTTCACTAAATTGTTATTTTTAGTTATTCTTAAATTGTATTATACAATTGATTGTAATGTATTGTCATTGAAATTAATTATTATGTATTGTTATTTAAATTAATTATTGTGTTGTAATTAGTAATCTTTTACCATTTGAATTGTTACTTTTTGAATTGAGATGCTACATTTATCGATTTAGGTTTTCCCTGTAATGGTAGATGTTAGTAGGAAATATAAATAAATAAATAATATTTTGCCTTTAATTTACTATGTTATCGGTCTAATGTCTGAAATATATTTATATTAACTTTACGTTTATTAATGTAATTTTATTGCTTAATATATATATATATATATATAATATTTTTTTATATATTATGTTTATATGTATATTTTAAGCAATAAAATTATATTAGTATTTGGTACGGACAGCCAGAATAATTACAGACTGTGAGACATTTCATCTTAGTCCTTTCAGGTAACAACGCACATAAAACTTCTTTGCTTGAAGTAGGCTACAAGTATACATGGACTGCATTAGCTAGTTTGTTAAAAGGTGGACTATATGTTCGTGTGTTATTTTATTTGAAAAAACACAATCTTTTTCGTTCAGTAGCAGTCTACTGATGCATTGCCTTCTTGAGCTACAGCACATGAACACAATTCACACAAACCTTTCCTGTAAGAACAATTCTATATAACTATTATTCTTGACGGCTTCGTGGTGCAGTGGTGTAGCAATGAGTTGCACCGCTAATAGCCGCGGGTTCGAATCCCACACGTAACAAGTATGATCTACATCCAAATATGACCTGCAAATAACTGTTCCGGTTTTGTCCGCCTGGATGTTTGTCTATGTGAAGTTTATGTACGTCAACTGCCCACAATACAGGATTCAAATGTGGAGTTAACATTATTTTTTTTTATAAGGCATCGAAATAATTGATGATTAATAATAAATAATTGTATATATATGTATATATATATTTATGGTCTTATACGCAAAGAATAATTATGCTAACGGGAAACGGTACAGCTATGGCAAGGTAAGCTACTTTGTAACTTCAATTGTAAAAAATAAAATAAAAAAATTGATTGTTTTAAATAATTTCTTTAATTATATTCTCATAATTTATATAAATCAACTAATATTATTTACGTATTCTTATTTCTTAAATTTTCGTAATAAAATTAAAACAAAAACACAATCATCGAATTTACAGTAGTTGGTTACATATTTACAATTATTGGCCAGAAATTGACACAGTTATCGGCTATACAAAGCAAAAAATAAAATCACTCACATCTACTGAGACTGACTCTAGATACTAATATCAATGAAGGGCTTGTTATGCCGTCAGCAGAGAAAGTAAAGAGAACGGTTACGCTTTCCGTAGGGTTTCTCTGCTGCACGGCATAGACGTTTTTGTCTCCTTTTGCAGCGAGGATACGTGCAGTTGTAGGGTACGCCTGGAATCCTGTCTCATCGGCATTAAAAACTCGACGAGGATCTTGAACGATATCCAAGTGGTTTTCACTAGTAAGGTGGTTTCTTATTTCTTGAAACCATTTCTTAATGTCACATTCAGCTATACTAGCATTAGCTTTGGTTACTCTTTCGCTATTTCTTGGGATCAAGGTGGGATGTCGTTTTAAAAAAGCCTTCGGCCTATTATTAACAAAAGGAGTTTCTTTTGGATTTTCAGTCGAGTATTTTTGAACGGTGTCTAGTACATCATCTGATTTTCTTGGGAAGCCTTTGCGGGGCATTTGAATTAACCATTCCTCAATGGAATTTTCTTCTTGTTTTGTTAAATAGGATGTTGGACCAAATCCAGACCTTGAAGTAGCGTTTTTTTAGTTTGAATTGTAAATTTGCTCTCGGAATGTTATATTTTTTTTTGCAACAGCTCTCAAAGACATTGTTTTATTGTGAATTTTTTCTAAAGCCTCATCTAGCGTTTCTTTCGAATAGTGAGGTATTTATGGCATGGTTCTTTATTCTTTAATCTGTTAGAAAAAAATAAAGTAGTGATTTGTTCAAAATAAATGAAGTAATATTATAGTAATTGTAAATATTATAAAATTATAGTAAAAAGCCTCCTTTTATATGGTTTAGTTATTACTTGTGACACAGTACTTGGCCTAGGCCAATAACTATTAATATATCTTTAAATTTTATGAGAATTGAATGCCCGGTAAAAAATGGAAAAATAAAGGATTTTTTTAAATATAATTTTTTCAGTATAGGATAAGTATAGTTAGTAATTGGCATTAAAAGTCAGGTACTGTAAACGTTTAAAAGCATCGATACAGTAAGTGGCCACAATATATTTTTAGGTTATGTTAAGATGTTAATGTTTTTCAGTTTTAACATGTTTAGTGAGCTTAAAATACTATATATTATACAGATTTGCGAACAATGAACTATGATCAGTATAGTAAAAATATCACATTAAAAAATGTACACTCTTAACAATTTTTAACAAATTTACGTCCTTGCGTGCCGGCGCGAAGAAAGAAGAAACAGAAGAACAAATTCACCTACCGGCGTTTTGACGAAACTTTATGGAAGTCAATAACTGTGTTTCTAAAATATAGACGAAGTTGCTAGTTTTTTAGAACCAAAGATGAAAGGGCTAATAACTGTATGAGGGCCAATGACTACACCGTTCCCCCTATATCATTTATGGTCATATACTCAAGGAATAATTATGCTATAATATTACCAAAAGTTGTGCAATTTCATGAATCCATGTTAAATTTGTGAAAAGCATTTACAGCCTTTACCACAAAATTAACTGGATTTTAGTTATTAAGAAAACAAAATATTATAATTTAACGACTTATAATAAAAACCCGTACAGTATATTGAAATTTTCTTGATTAAAAATTTCATTTTCTATTTCGTCGCTCTTAATGGAGGAATTTTCTTCCAAATTATTTGGAACCACCTCATAAGTACAATTTTTATATTAAAAAAATAATCATCAAAATAGGTTTACAGTCGGCGATGATATAGTGACATACAAAAATAAAATTTTTAAAAAGCAGTCGAATTGTAAATGGCCTCTTTTTTAAAGGCGGCTTAAAAGGTTGAAATATATATCTAAATAATATGGTTATATTTAATACACCTACTATATTATTATTGTTAGCTTGAGCGTGAATGCGTGCGTAAGTATATAACTACTATCAAATAAATGACTCAATAGCAAACACACACACGATCGGAAGCAAGTGATATCCCAGGTGGGGTAAGTTACAACAAATCTAATTTCTATCAGTCAACTGCGGTCCGTTGAGAGCTTTGCGTTACTGAACTCTATTAAATTTCAAATCGATTTTGTCCATCCCGGTGATTACACCTGTTGAATGTTTTCCTGGACAGACGGTACAAATAAAAGTACAGTTACAGCATATTTACTTTCTGTACTGTTTAAGTTTGATTCCCTGGTTTTCACATTCCATCAAAATAATTTCTATTTATTATGTTTATTATGTTTGCATTAAATAACGTACAGTATTAATAATGAACTATATTTACAGCCTACTTAAGCGCTTTATTCATTTTTCATCTTGCTATACGCCCCTGTAAGATCAAGCCAATTGCACGATGCAAAACACATGCAATGCAAAATGTACAAACACAACAAATACAAGACAATGAGAAAGCTAGACGTACGTCACGCCTACTCATTTTCGTACAACAAGATGGACACTAATTACATTATATTACTTCAATTTGATTCCTCAGATTCGAAACATTCTTTGAAAGCTTTATATTTGGTTGAAAGACAATTTTTACTCTTTTTACTCTAATGTGTACTTTGATTATAAATTATCACCACTAAATTCTTAATCGTATAATTAAAACAATTTTAAAATAAAGTCATTAAAGCAGAAGAAAACAGTTACCATAATATTAATCATGGAGATAGAAAAACAAAGTGGACGTGATTATAATATTCAGGTCTGTTCATTATGTTAGTCTGCGCAATATTTTCGCTCAATATATTAAGCTCATAAAATAAATTTTAAAACTAAATTGTATTTAGTAGTCTGTTATCATGAATTAGAGCTGTGGTAGCTCAAATGGTTAACGCTCGCTGTAAATATAAAAGAACGCGAGTAACGCAAAGAAATTATTATTATTTTAGAGTTTATAAGAAACATCGTGAGGAAACCCGCATGTCTGAGGAATAAGAAAAAAAGGATTTCGAAGACATATGAAGTTCGCCAACACGCATTGGGGCAGTGCGGCGGCCACTTCCTTGCCCTAAAACCCTCTCAGAAATGAGGGGAGGCCTATTCCCAGCAGTGGGACGTATATAGGCTGTAACTTTACTCTACTTTTTATCATAAATTTCTTCAAAAAACTTTAAAGTAGATACGAAGACAAGAGTGAGAAGTTTTTCGCTCTATTTGAGAAAAACTTGTTTCATAAATTCTAAAATAATGGTTGCAGTCCTTCGTATATATTATGCAATCTTTGAGCAATATGGTAACTCTGTCATAAACCTGTATCTATAAATGCCCCGAGGCGGCTATAAGTCAAGTAATTGATAAAGTTGATATACCAGTAGCGATGGATGTCATAAAATACACGGCGGACTTAATATCTTGCAAATTTTTATTACTTCGTTGTAAAGAAAGCAGTTTTATTCTTCGTAGTTGAAAATTTCTTAACGTTGTTACGAGTATATTTAATTTTTAAGTACTCTCAAAGTAAAATCACTGCCTTTATAAAACGCACGGTTGGGCACAGACCTCCTCTCATCTGTGATAGGATTATAAGTAATTAATCAAAAAAATCATCTCAAAATATTTTATTTCTTAGACAAGCACGTTGTTTTTATTTCACCGTTGAGCAATTTGACTGGTTTCGATGATGTTGGTGCTGTTAGCCTTTTGGATTTTACAGTTTCATCGGTCTCAGGGCTCACGGTGTGAGGGATACAAGCTTAAAACAAAAAGAGACATTCTGAATCCATCTACATCGTTACTTGCAACGGCTATTGAAAGTGCACGTAAATGAGTTATCTACCCGCCGTCCAAACAGAGGGATGCGGGCCCTCGGCTCTGACGGCTAACTCGTATCAACTGCGTGAGAACCACCCAGGGACGCGGGTGTATGATGTGTACGCAGTATAAAGGAGTATGCGGCGCGCCCGTTCGATTTACTAATTGTGTTTGTTGCACTAGGTAAGTGTGTACTGTTCGTAAGTGACCGGTCGGCGGCATTTGGGTCGAAATCTTGCGGAACAGGGGGGAGGGAGGCAAAGGACATGATATGTCTTACGCCAGCTTTGTTAAGATGGAGTTTGTGTTTTAAGGACAGTTTGCTCTTGCTGTTAACTCATAGGTGAAGACAACTTTTGAAGAATTCGGCCCGGTTCCGAACGGAGCGAATATGTTTCGCGAAGGTCATGCTGTGGTCGAAAGTGATCCCTAGATATTTGGCCGTTCATAGTCAAGGGATCTGTTGACTGAACAGGGTGATCCTACCTATCATTTTATCGGGATTTGTGTAACAGCGATTGAGAGTGGTGTCCCTTGAAAGTATATTGCTACACTTTCCTCTGAAGCTGAAGAAAAGGGCCTTGAAAATGCCCACTAGCAGGAAAACAAGTGGCGCCGAGAGTGATTTAAGCATCGTGTTGCTGATGCCGTCGGGGCCGGGTGTCTCTTTTAAGGTTTTTAATTGCTTCTGTGTCTTCATTAACAGTAACAGGCTCTAAGGGGTCGTCCACGGTGGTAACGCAGACCTACACTCGAGATCCGCTTCGACCTCTGCAAGGTCCGGAACGCATTTGGATTTTTCAGAGTCGTCAAAGCCGAGATCGGAGGCGTACGCATTGGTAATCAACATTTAATTTTGTATAGTTACTATAAATACATTTATTATGTTTAGTTTTAAATATGAAAGTCCTTAGCGTATATTAACTCGAAAACTACACATTAAAGACTACTATTTTCATGGGTTTATATCGTGTTTAAGTAATTTTTTAATCATTTACTTATGAATTGTCTGGCGCTGAACATATTTCCTTATAGATTCTCTTAGTGTTTCCGTATGTTGAACGAGAATTGGAGACCCTTTTTACTAGTAAAAAGCATTATATCTTTGTCTTCAGCTGTGAAGTAGTCGACGTCTATGGATTACTTTATCCGCTTATCATCAGTTGAGGTGTTTGTCGTAAGTCACTCTTATTTCTATATTTTACTCCTTTATCTACCGTTTAATTTTTTGCCAATTTATATATATATATATAAAGTTATATATATATATATATATATATATATATATATATATATATATATAGTTTTTATATTAAAGTTACAGCCTATATACGTCCCACTGCTGGGCTCACGCTTCCCCCTCATTTCTGAGAGGGTTTAGGGCAAGGAAGTGTCCGCCGCGCTGCCCAAATGTTGACGAACTTCACATGTCTTCGAAATATTTTTTTTTCTTATTCCTCAGCAGGTTTCCTCACGATGTTTTCCTTCACCGGGTTACTCGCGTTTTGTTATATTTACAGCGAGCGTGAACCACTGAGCTACCACGGCGCTCTCTCTCTCTCTCTCTCTCTCTCTCTCTCTCATATATATATATATATATATATATATATGTATATATATACACACACCACATGTTCGTATCACAGTAAACTCGGAGCAATGCGAACTAAATAAAAAAATTGATGTACATTTCCAACTAATTCATATGAACTAAGCTGAAAATTATGGACTCCAATTTTAATAATTCGATTCTAAAAATCTAGTACGTCAACGAGTTTCAAACTTTTGGTCATTGGGGAAACTTTTTCTACTGAGGCTCTATTTGATATTTCATGCCCTCTTTGTTTTAATTGAAACTTCGGAAACTACAAGTGGGCTATTAAAACTAAACGTTTATATAATAATTAATAGTGGAATAACAATTAAAATAATCAATAATAAAACTTATTTATCTATCTTTTACAAAGACATTTAAATAATAAAACTAGTTTTACTGATCTTATCGTGTATATTAATTTATTTTATATTCCTGAAGTTTTGGGAACTTTACAACACCGATGTTCATGGAAGGAGTGAAGGGGTAGAGGTGTCATTAATTAATAATTAAAATAGCACTGTTAGTTTAAAATATTAGGAAATATAAAATAAGTTTATATACGCGATAAAATCCATAAAACTAGTTTTATTTAAATGTGCAGTGTTTTCGTGAACATAACAAATCATTACGTTAAGAAAACTTATAATTACAATATTTAATGATCTAACGTGAGTATTCCTTTGTCATGGACTGATCCGCACTTGCTATTCCTGTGATTCAGATTCCCTGGCCCTAATCGAACAAAGGACTTATTACTGTTGCCGAATTATTTCAGAAATTACTATTTCTCAACTACTTCCTAATGGAAATAAATATAAAAATATAAACTTCATTTACTGAAAACAAATTACTTGTCGTGAAGTTGAGTCTGTGGATACTCTTACCCAGCCACTGCATGGCGTTAACGAATCAACTACCCCATATCATCATACCAGAAATTAAACAAGTGATGGGTAGCAACCTCTTCTTGATAACAACTTGGTAAATAACCGCCTGTTAGGCTTGACTATCATGGTAGATCTCCATAAAAAATGTGTGAGATCTGTGAGAGAGGTCTAAGTTCAATAATGGGTTTGTAATAGGCTGTGATGGAAAGAAACACTTTTCGTGTGATGACCACGTTCCGTCCAGTGAGTGTTGTAAAAAGCATCTATGAAAATGCCAAAAAAATCACACGGCTACTGATAAATAGTGGTATGAACACCTCGTTCACGCTAGAATTGTAATACCCAGATCAATTACGGGAGGGTTCTCCTAAACCGAGACGAAGAAGAAACAAATAGAAAAATATACTATTTAATATTTAAAAAAACATGTCACAGCAAGTATTGCGAATTTATTTTTGCTTGAGACACTGACAAGTTATCATTTATTTTGATAATACGGTTAGCGTTTCATTGACAAATGAATTTAAGTCAGGAATAATTTTGTAATTTAATTGCGGTATATATTTTTTTTTCAAAAATAACGAAACAAACACTAAGTATCACATTATATTTGTTCCTATTTCTTGATAGTACTTTTTGGTTCTACTTGACTATATATGACTATAGCACTATTTGATTCAACAACAATCTAAGTTAGTGGCGCTAGTAAATGTTTCGACGCTTCCAAACTTTATCTAAACGGTTCACTGGTGGTTCTGAACTTGGGTATTAATTCAATTTATACTTGGGTAATAATTTCCATATAATCAGACATGTATGCAGAAGTGAAAATATATTCCACAATCGTGCAAATGCTTTTTTCACTTTAAATTATAGGCTAATACAAGATTTATTTTATTAAGGGGAAATATAACCTCAAATGGCTTAGCAAGATCCTCCGTTATGCCGAAAGTATTGCAGCATTAATTTTGAAATAAATATATGGTAAAGTTGAGGATTAATGTTAAGGTTTATGTTAGACGAAAACACGATTCCGTAAAATTTTCTCGATAGAAAAAAAATCCAAAGTTACCTCCAAACTGAACAATAAACCGCTGTTATTCATAAAATACTTTAAATAAGATCATGAAACTTTGCATACTAACTGAACTAACCATAAAGAAGTGCTTATGTTATTTACTTTTTTTAAAATATCATTATTTTCACTGTAAAAAGAAATTACCTAAACTATCGGCGCGTAAGCTTGGTTCCTGTCGCTCCGTTATAAAACCGTTATAAAAATAAGAAGCGACTGGGTTGGCGTTAAGAAACAGGCATATATATGATAAACATAATGAAATAAGTATCTAACGACCTATCTACTTAGAGTATTAGTGATTACAAACATGTCGGTACATAGCATACGACGCGCGGGGAAGTGGGGGCGAAATTAGAATTTGAGCTGACTTACTCTCACCTCTTAATGCAATCCTGCAAAACTCACTTATGTGTTTCTGAAGCATGTTCTCTGAGAGTTCAATACATAACAGTTTTTGAGAATTAAAAAATGCACCAAGGTGACTCTACAAGCTTAGGTATCTAATTTTGCTACGGAGCAGTATAAATTATGTTTCTAAATTGAAGCCCACGCGAACGAAGTCGCAGGTATAAAACTAGTATAAAATAAAATAAAACCCACCCAAGTACGTGCCGGGCCAAGCACAATGTAGGGTTCCGTTCCGTTACGTTTGATACTTTGGGCGTATTAATTAATTCGCGATTCGACCATTATAACGATTAAAAATGGCACCCAATAACGATAGTATTGATAAACTTATTTTCCAAGCAGAGTTATAGGGAATAGTAATAGTTTAATTACACTTAATTATAATGGCATTTTGCCATTATGCCATTTTGTTCGATAACTTGTTGCCATCTTGTAGGTAGTGACATAACATTTGTGTATTTAGTCGTCAGTTAAAACATGGTGCATAATGTGAAAGAAGGTATTCCTATACGTAAACACCTATAAAGAAAATGTAACCTCTTGGTAAAGGCACTTACAACACGTTGAATAATTTATTATTTTCGACTTTATTCCCCATGTGTCACCGTCACAGTAAATGCGTAAATAATTTTACGTTACTTGTAGATAAAAAGTTCAAAACGCATTACGTCAATAGCTTAAATTGTATAAGGGGCTTGAATAAATAATTATTGCATATATTTTGCGGAAAATATCTTTATGAACGCCAACAAAAAGGTGCTAGCAGGTCACTCCGTCTAACGCAGAATTTTGCAGACTATAAATACTACTTCATATCAAAATAATTAGCAAGGAAATTGTAAAGCGTATCTTTGTGTTTAATTTAGTCTTTGTTTCATTGAAATGGGTTTATTCTATCCAAAGTTATGATTAATATTCTGAAGTATGGGTACGAATTATAAGTACAAATGTGATGTAAAATAATATTACATAACGATATAATTATATCTGAAACACAATAAACAAAAATAAGAAAGAATAACGTAATAAATATATACAAAAATATAATTAACCTTAATATCTAAAGTACAATAGTTAATATCATCGATAGATGGTGCTGATGTAAAACATAAAGGCAGGTTATATTTTTCTTTCTTGTAGAGATGGGTCTTCATAACAAACTAATTTATTTATAAAATTTTGAATAAGAAGTATTGCTTAAAATGTTTTTCTTTACCGTCGAGTAGCTTAAATAAAATTTTGAAAGATATACATATTTACAACGAATCCACGACTTTTTGTGCCACCAGGGCGGCGACACTTAAAATGAAGTGTAATATTTGACAGATTTCATAGTCGGGAAGTTATTTTGTTCGGAAATTGTAAGGGCTGATGTTTATTTCTGTACCATTAGTTATTATTTATTCATATATAATATTATTTTTTTATTCTTTAAAATAGAAAAATCAAAAAAATTGTTAAAAATGTGCAAACAATTTAAAAAAACCCACAGAGGCATTATTTTGTGTATTATTATAATACTCTAGAAACTGATAAACTTTTATTAAAAACTAAATTATCAATTAAATGACACTGTGTGACAAAAAAATTCATCTCAATGTCAACTGCCCTCATTACGTTGGTTTCATCTAGGATCGAACTTTCTTCTTAGCCTATGCTACTGTAGGAGTCATTTGTTCAGCAGGCACTGATTTAAAAGTTCTGATATGTTTTACATAATGTATCAATCGCGTCGAAATTTTTCTTTTATTTTTAGAATTAAGTTAAAAGCGCCATCTCTCTTTTATTTTTTATACCTATAATAAAGATGGTGATTACCTGTATCTATACATTCTATATTATATTTGTGACAAAAATCATTAAGAGGACTGAAAAAAAGTAAATAAAAACATTTTTTATAATTTTTTAGAATTGTCTGTCTGTTTCTTTATGAACTTATTCGGTATCAAGTAAACATTTTTTTTCAATGAAATCGCTAAGAAAATCATAGAGCGTGTCTTCGCATTTTATTTAATCTTTATTTTATTGAAATCGAATTGTATCAAAAGATATGATATTTTCAAAAAATAGGTTCGAATTAATTCAACGGCGCCATAAAATCTCAGAAATAGTAATAAAAAATTACGTTCTATAATAATATATTGTTGCGCGCCTAAGTTGACGTCTGGCACTAGCGCCATTTAGTGTCGGGTAACAGAGCGAGGAGAGCTTTCCAGAAAATGACATGACTAATCTTTCAACCAACAGCGCCATCTATTATCGAATTAAAACTAAGCTTTCTAGAAGCCCTACACTCGAAATTTCGGCGCCTGGTCGGTTGGCGTGGGTATTTACTTGAATATTCTGGATGTTTCGGTGAAAAAGGTGTATTTAAAGGCTCTACTCGATCGGGGCAGTATTTGAATTTGGCGAGACAAGCGAAGCTTCGGAGCGAAATATAGTGAATCAGTGTGATTAATTATTTGTGTTTTAAGTTTTGATTGGTGTGAAGAAAATTACAGTAAATTTTGGTAATTCAATCGGTAGTTTTTGTTGTCACGAACCTCAAGCTCGTAACAATATTTATACTTAAAACAGACTACACAAAAAATGTTGTCCTTAAACTAAAAAATTATGTTTTTTTGACAATTGTAGTAGATAGCGTTGCACAAATGAACCAGTTTCTGAATTGCAGTGCTAAGATTCTCCGCCAGTGGATCGTATTGAGACAATAGCTGCAATCTAGGATTGTGAAGCATTGATCATGAATCATATTTTTCTCTTTTCTCTTTAATAGTATAAAAGTGGAATATTTGTGGCGGCGGAATACTGCTAAATATCACAAAGATCCTTTTTTACCAATGGTGGTAGCCATAAATTATATTTGTAAATTAAAGTAGTTTTAAAAGTAAATATTTTGGTGTTATATTGAGTGCAATAGCGAGCGAAGCGAGCCTGGGACGTGGGGCACCCCGACTCGGACAGGTTAGGTTAGAAAGGGATGACGGGGTCGAGTGAGCGAGTGAAGCGAGCGAATAGACCCCGTGATCCTCTCCGTGGTTATTTTTTTATAAACCAATCAGAAGTAGGAGCGGGGCTCCGTCGACGGGTTTCCCTCGTCTGCGACACGCTAAGTGGCGTGGGACTTCCGTCCCTCAACTCTCTCTCCTCATAAATCAGGTTAAAATTGTCATAAAAATTACGAAACATAACCTCAAAATGAGTTTTTTATTTAAAAATTTATGAAAAAAAGGAACTAAGCACGTCCGGCAGGAAGGAAAAGTAGGGGGTGACTCTACAACTCCTCCCCTCCCCCCACACCACCCCCATCCCCTAATTCAGGCGGCTGAATTGTAAACCTTACCCGGTTGTATTTTTTGGCTGTCTTTTTGTTATTGTCTGAAGTATTTATACCAATATTTTATCATTGATGGCACGTGTTATCACCCGGAAAAATAAAACTTACTTTCTTAATGTGGTGACACGTGATTTTATCCAGAAAGTAAATATTAAGCCGATTTTACCTTGTTCTATTAGATCTTGAATATAACTCTTGCGACGAGTATGAAGAAATGAAGTTCGACGCGTACGATTACGGCGGTGGCAGTGGAGATGTCAGTGAAGAAGAAGCCGCAGCTGAGCGTCGCAGGCCAAAGTCCGTCATTGAAATGCCCACACTGGCACCCCTTTTGCTTGAAGCTTAAACTATTATTAATAAAAAGTCTGCATAAGGAGTTCATGTTCATTCACCATCACAATACGAGTAAAGTATACTCCCCACCTCCAGAAATCTTGGCAGTTCTTGGGGAAGCAAAAACGTTCGAAGAAGGTTTTGGGCAGAAGATCCCAGTTTTGGGCAGAAGATTCCTACGGAATCTCTGAACGTTGGGGAAAAATCTTTATAGAAGGGTTGACGAAAGAACGGAAGGAAAACTTGCTTACTAAAACACTAATCCCCGAAAATTTTCAACTTGCTGAAGCGCCTAGATTGAACATCGAGGTGGTGTCAGTAATTAATAAATCGACCAAAAATTGAGATTGGCGTTTAGAAAAAATGCAAAACCAACTGGTTGTGGCATTGCAGGTTTAGCACATCTAACGTCAGAGTGAACAAGTAATGAAATGAGCAAATAGGAAATAATTAAATAAATATCAGAAATAAATCAAATTCTACTGGACCTTCCCCACGGGGAAACAATGAATCATAGACGATTAACTATCCCAATGTTAGACAAAAGCTTTATTAATGTAATTCAAGGCATTAAAAATTTCTCTTCGATGGCAATTTTAGCGAAAGTATCAAAACTAACCAAGTCAATAGAAAAATCTGGCCAGCAGATCAAAAGATCACAATTGTCTGCTCCTAGAAAAACCATGGGTACAAGTGTGCAGGGAGCGGCGCGTGCAGCCCGCGGGTTTTACGGAGCGGGGGCGCGTGCAGCCTGCGCGCCTTCACATCAGCAGCCCGCCACCCGCAGGCAACCGCCAGCGGCACGGCGCCTACCGCTGACCAACCAGCTGCAGAACTATCACAGCTGCCGCTAAAGGTACCACACGCTGGTCTTATTCAATACTTTTTACACAATTGGTTAAACGTAACAATGTATCCCCATATATTGAATATAGTAAAGGGCTATTCGTTAATATTCACTCTAACTCCTACCTAACTCGTAGAGCCTGGTAATCCTCTTGGTTCTAAAACCGCAATGTTGAAATTGATCAAGCAACTTAAACGTTTAGGATCGATTGTGCCAAATGATTGTGATGGTCAATTTATATCTCCGATATTTCTTATTCCTGAAAGTAACGGATAATATAGATTTATTTTTAATCTGAAGTCAGTTAATAAACTTATACTGCAAAATCATTTTAAAAAGGATGACATTCCCACATGTTAAAAATTATTATCTGAAGATTCATTTATGGTAACAATTGATCTTTTTTATGACAACAATTGATCTTAAAGCTTATTTATTAATTTTCCCTCCCAGCATATTTTGATGACGTCTGGATCACGTTAGACGACTTTAACTCGCGTTTAAATTCGATCACGAAAGTTATTCATTCTTTAAAGCAATAAGGTTATGTGATAAATTATGATAAAACTGTTCTCATACCTAATAAGATATGTAAATTTCTTGGATTTTTATGGAATTCACAAACATATGACCTTAAATTTACCATCAGAAAAACGTTGTAAAATTAATAAAAATGATTAAGAATATGTCTTAAAAATCGGAAGTGAAGATAAGAGATTTTGCTCATTTTATAGGTACTCTAACAGTTCTAACAGCCGTACTCAACTCTAACAGCCGTAGCCGACAGCTGGATATATACCAAGCGCTTTGAGAGGGTTAAAATATCGTGCTCTCTTAAAAGACAAATATTATGACGCAAAAATGAAAGTCAACGCTTTGTTAAAAGTTGATTTTTTATGGTGGTAAACAAAAACAAATTATGCAAACACTTCTATAGAACAAATCATTTTCAACTAGAAATTTTCTCCGATGCTTCACTTACAGGGTGGGGAATATTCTGCAACGGAGAAGTAGTAAACGGATATTGGTCAGAAAAGAAAAGGAAAAGGATAAACATATTCACTATTTAGAACTTATAGCAGCCTTTATGGGACTAAAGTGCTTTTGTTACAATATTACCAAATCTGATGTTTTGATAAGAGTTGTTGACACCACTGCTATATCTTACATTAACAGGATGGGTGGAATACAGTTTCTCCACTTAAACGATGTAACTCGAGAGATATGGCAGTGGTGTCAACGAACAAAGTTTCCGTCATATATAAAATTTCACAACACATTATTAGAAATTTATGGTTAATGGAATTTATCTTCAGTGAACTTCAACCAAAATTATACGAGTTGCTGCATCCGTAGAGATTTATGAACCCAACCCTTATAATTAATTACAGAATTACAAATTCGTTTATACTCTGAAAAGAATGATCGAAACGCCCGGCCGGGCCAGTAGGCTGACAGTGGCTTACAAAAGTCAATGGACATTTTTTTATTATTTATTTTTTAATTATTTGTAAAAATAATATCTAAAATTCGTGTGATGATGCAGTACCACAGAAAGCAGCAGCAATTCGTATAATTTTGGTTGATGTTCACTTAAGGTAAGTTCCGTTAACCATAAATTTCTAATAATTTGTTACGATGACTTGCAAATAAAAGGCACAAAATAAACGTAACTTGCAGCTTAAGCGCAGCGCAGCAACGGTCCACGGGCGGAGGACGTGAAGAAATGAGGAGTGTAGCAGCAGGAAATAGTCCGCTGCAGCAACAGGCGAGTGACGAACACCCAACACCAAGGTCGCTGGAAAGGGAGCAAGTGCTCACCAGATATATGGTTTGTTTTAGTATTTTAGCTTATGACGTTATTAGGCTTAATTTTAAGCAGCTTAATATGGAAAAGTATTTTGAGCCTAAAATTCAAACTCATATATAAAATAAAATATTATCTTATGAATTATAAGTATAAATTAATCAAATTTTATGGTGATTTGCAATTCGTTCTGGGTTAAATAACGTTATAAGCTCATCGTTTGGTAGCGGTAAGAGAATTGATGACATAATCTTGTCGTTAGTGACGTAGGAATCGACTGTAGGAATCGTGAGCTTTGGATTGCAGTATAACTTTTCATATACTCTAATCACTAGTGTTTCGTTACTTGTTCTAATATAATATGTGGTAGAGTGTCAGTTGTTGTGTTAGTTGTTAAAATACATGCGTGGTTTGTACTTCGTACCACATTCTAAATTTAAGTACAGCCTGTATACGTTCCACTGCTGAGCACAGGCCTCCTCTGACTTCTGAGAGGGTTTTAGGGCAAGATCGTGTCCGCCGCGCTGCCCAAATGCGTATTGGCGGACTTCACATGTCTTCGAAATATATTTTTTTTATATCTCAGACATGTCGGTTTCCTTACGATGTTTTTCTTCACCACCGCACTCGACAAAAAGCACTTAAAATTACAATTAACAATCTTATTGGTGCCGGCGGGGATCAAACGCGGGCTGCTCGCGTAATCTAAAATTTACAGCAAGTTAAGCCTGCTACACTTGCTATTATTGAGATAACTTAAAAAATTGTATACTATTTATTTAAGACTATAAAAATATGTGCTTCACTGTCTTATGCCGAAATACTCAAATGCTACTCAATTTTAAGTACTGTTAAGTCTTATGCTGTCTCTATCACTTTAAGTTAATGTAAATGTAACGACACGAAATTTAACAATATCATAAAATTGAGTAACGTTATATACTTTGAGTATTTGGCGATTAGGCAATTTTATCCGTTGTAGAGCTATACTGCGGCAAATAACAACTATAGCGCAAATAGGTCGCATCTACTAAGAAAGGACCACGGTCTCACAGTTTGCAGCTGTGTTTATATGGAGAGTGCAAATAACATAAGAGCCTTTTCACTGGTAATAAGGTATTCCGTCTATGTCCCCAAGTTTGACTGTTTTCTCCGGGTCATAACATCCAATAATCAGTACATAAGTTATTTAAAGTGTGTACACTCCAATTAACATTTGATTTTATATAATGGTAGCTAATTTAAAAATGTTAAAACATTAGGAACTAAATGCAACTGAATCGGGAATGAATTTTCATTTAACTGGTCCAATTCCCTTGGCCAATGTAGTTAAAATAAACACAGGGAATGCAAATTTATACCACATTGGGAGTTGAGTATGAACGTTGACTTTATTTTCTAAGTTATAATATCAAGAAAGTTTATATTAGAACAAAGTAGATGAAATATATTTCTCCCAGCTTTTGGATAATGAATATTATTAATATCTATTAAATAGTGGTTATAATAACACGCTAGCAAAACATAGTGCATACTTGAACTTTAGTACTTTACTTTACTTTACTTATCTTCACGCATAATCCCTAACGGGGTAGCCAGAGAGAACAGATCGCCAAGTGTCACGATCCTTACATACCTCTTTCGCTTCTTTCAGGTTCATTAACTTCTTCATAAATGTACGTCTAGGTATCCGAGTACTCTTGACCCTCCCCCTCTTCGAGCAATTTGCTCACATGGTCTTCGAAAGTTAGTCTCGGTCTACCTCGACACCTTTGAATATTTACTTTCGCTCTATATATTTTCTTCACCATTCGGTCTTCACTCATTCGTTCAACGTGCCCAAACCATTGGAGTACGCCCCTATCAATTTTTGTGATAAGGTCATCTTTCAATCCTGCCGTATTGCGAATCTCTTCGTTTCGCTTTCGGTCGGCTATGGTAACGCCACACATTTTACGAAGAGATCGCATCTCCACTGCATTCAACTTGCTTTTATGCTTCTTCTGGCATACCCAGGTTTCGCTGCCATATAACAAAGTCGGTACCAACACTGCGTTATGTATTGCAAGGCGTGCACTCCTCACCACGCCTTGCCTTTTTTACTAATGCATTCAGGGCACCATTGACTTTGTTTCCGGCAGCGACACGCCTATCCACATCTAAATCACATCTTCCATCCCGGCTGAAAGCACTCCCCAAGTATACAATTTCATTTACCTGTTCTAGACATTCCTGATTTACCCATATTTCACATTTCGTTCTCTCTTCATCCTTTTCAAATACCAGAACCTTAGTTTTATTAGCATTCAAATGGAGACCTTTAATTTCACATTCCTCTTTCATACACGTGACTAATGCCTGCAGTTCTGCTTCTGATGGTGCAATAAGCACTGCATCATCAGCATACAGCAGACAATTAACTTTTATGTCACCCAATTTCACACCCAAACAACTATTTTTCAGCTTCTGTAAACAGCTGTCGAGATACAGTATGAACAGCCAGGAAGACATGACACAACCCTGTTTTACGCCTGCTTGGACGCTAAACATGGGTGACAGGTCATGCCCTACCCGCACACAGGCTTTACAGTCATAGTAAAGTGACTGCACAGCCCTTAATAATTGACCATCCACACCATATCCCGGCAACAGTTCCCACATTTTCTTCCTTATAACCTTATCAAATGCTTTCTCCAGATCCACAAAAGCACAGAAAATCCTCTGGTTAACACTCAGAAGCTTCTCCGTGATCATGCGGAGAGAAAACATTTGATCCGTGCATCCTCTTCCAGGTCTAAATCTGCATTGTGCCTCCCATAAGAATCTTTCCGATTTCTCTTGCATCCTACGTGTCAAAACCTTCGAGCAAACTTTACTTGCTAAACTGGTCAAGCTGATCGCCCGATAGCACCCGCAGTCAAAATGTGAACTTTTTTATATAAAGGCACAATGACCGTGGATCGCCAATCATCCGGGACATCTCCCGTCCGCCAGCACAAATTGCACAGCAGATGGAAGCTGTCCCAGACGCGAGGCCCACCGTACTTGACCATTTCAGCAGTAACTCTGTCTAGTCCCGCAGCCTTACCACATTTCAAATATATCTTTCATGCTGATGACCTCAGTGTCATCGAGGTCCGTGTCTGGCGTGCCAGTCACGGCGTCACCCCGGATCCTTCACTAAGATCATGACACGCATA